TTTTTCGGAGATGATCTTGCTTTATCACTCAAGCTGGAGTGCAATGATGTGATCTTGGCGCACTGTAGCTTCAACCTCCTGAGAAGATGATTTGCACCATGACTGGGCATTTTCTCTGGGATGCATAGCCACGCTCCCTGACTCTCACAAATGCCCTATGGTACGTGTTCCTCCCTCCACGTCAGCCCTCCACTATCACTTCTGCCTGCACATACCTGAGTGCAAGTGGCGTATGTTGAGGCGGGAGAGAGTCTGGGTATGGAAGGCTGGATGCCTGAGTTCTAGGCTATGTGCGGCTCCCAACCCCTTGGGGATTTCAGGGGTAGAGGGAATATTTTACTGAGAGCCTACAGCCCTCCAGACACTGTGCTGGGTGCTTGGTGTGAGTCTTAATCTTCCTGTCATCACTGGGAGGTGCCGGCTTGGTGTTCCATTTTGCCCATTCAAAAGCTCTGTTGCCTAAGAACTCAGGGCTAATTAAGAGATGAGCCAGTCACAAGCCTGTCTCCGTTGCCCCACACATTACCTCCAAAGTTGCTTCCCTTTTCTAAGCCAGTTTCTTCTGATTGCCTACAATGGGCCCCACATTGTGCTGGGAGCTGGGGACAGAGTAGTGAACAAGGTCTCTGTCCTCATGAAGCTGATAAGCCAGTGTGGTGCCCAATAATAAGTAAATGATGCTGCATGCTGGAAAGTGATAGAAAAGGTAGTGAGAGAGCAGGGGGTTGGCACTGGTTTTTTTTTTTCTTCTTTTTTTGAGACGGAGTTTTGCTCTTGTTGCCCAGACTGGAGTGCAATGGCACAGTCTCTGCCTCCCGGGGTCAAATGATTCTCCTGCCTCAGCCTCCCAAGTAGCTGGGATTACAGGTGCCTGTCACCATGCCTGGCTGATTGTTGTATTTTTAGTAGAGACAGGGTTTTACTATGTTGGCCAGGCTGGTCATGAACTCCTGACCTCAAGTGATTCACCCACCACGGCCTCCCAAAGTGCTGGGATTACAGGCTTGAGCCACGGCGCCTGGCCTGGGACTTGCTATTTAATATAGGTGGGATGGGAAGGCCTCTCTCATAAGACGACACATGAGCAGAAATGAGGGAGTGAGCCAGAGGGACATCTGAGGGAGGAGCATTCCAGGCTGAGGGAACAGCCAGTGCAAAGGCCCTGAGGTTGGAGTGTGCCTGACATTTCAGAGAAACAAGACTCATGTGGTTGGCGCAGAGAGGGAATAAGGGGAGATAGGGAGACAAGGTCACAGAGGGAACAAGAGCCATATCTTGCAGGTCCCTGCACCACAGTGAGGACTCAAGCTTTCACTCTGTCAGGGATGGCACCATGGGAGGATTCTGAGCCTGGGAGGAATGGGCTCTGATGTAGGTGTTCACAGGATTCCCCTGGGAGGAAGAGGCTAAAGGGGTAGGAGAGGGTGGGAAGCCCAGTGAGGAAGCCCCTGCGTCCGTATTGAAGAGGAGAGTGGCTGGAACAAGGTCGGGATAGCAGAGCAGGGAGAAGTGGTGAGATTCTGGATATATTCTGAAGGGAGAACCTGCAGCATTTGTTGACAGATTGGACACTGGGTGAGAGAGAAAGTGACTGAGCAACGGAACGGGTAGAGTTTGCTGTTTCCTGGCATGGCAAAGACTAGGCGGTTTGGGGATTGGGGTACCTCAGCAGTTAGGTTTTATATATGTTAGATTTGAGATGGTTCTTAGATATCCTGAGGGAAGATGTCACTCAATGAGTGAATACAGCTCCAGAGAAAGAGAGACAGAACAGCAAATAATAGTAATATGTTAATATTAGAATAGGCCGGGCATGGTGGCTCATGCCTGTAATCCCAGCACTTTGGGAGGCCGAGCCGGGCGGATCATGAGGTCAGGAGATCGAGACCATCCTGGTTAACACAGTGAAACCCCGTCTCTACTAAAAATACAAAAACATTAGCCGAGTGTGGTGGCGGGCGCCTGTAGTCCCAGCTACTCGGGAGGCTGAGGCAGGAGAATGGCATGAACCCGGGAGGCAGAGCTTGCAGTGAGCCAAGATCGTGCCACTGCACTCCAGCCTGGGCGACAGAGCAAGACTCTGCCTCAGAAAAAAAAGAAAAAATTAGAATAGTTGCTATATTATACATATAATAATAATAATAACAATGATTTTGGCCAGGTGTGGTGGCTCGCCCCTGTAATCCCAGCACTTTGGTAGGCCAAGATAGGCGGATTGCTTGAGGTCAGGAGTTCGAGACCAGCCTGGGCAACGTGGTGAAACACTGTCTTTACTAAAAATAGAAAAATTAGCCAGGCATGGTGGCACGAACTTGCAATCCCAGCTACTTGTGGGGCTGAGACACAAGAATTGCTTGAACCCAGGAGGTGGAGGTTGCAGTGAGCTGAGATGGTGCCACTGCACTCCAGTTTAGGTGACAGAACAAGATTGTCTTAAGAAAACAAAAAACAATGATTTTGTTTTGTTTTGAGACAGGATCTTTCTCTGTTACCTGGGCTGGAGTGCAGTGGCGTGATCACAGTTCACTGCAGCATTGACTTTCTGAACTCAAGCGATCCTCCTACCATAGCCTCCAGAGTAGTTGGAACTATAGGTGTGAGCCACATGCCCAGCTAACTTTTTTTTTTGAGACAGAGTCTCGCTCTGTCGCCCAGGCTAGAGTGCAGTGGCACGATCTCAGCTCACTGCAAGCTCCACCTCCTGGGTTCACGCCATTCTCTTGCCTCAGCCTCCCGAGTAGCTGGGACTACAGGCGCCTGCCACCATGCCCAGCTAATTTTTTGTATTTTTAGTAGAGACGGGGTTTCACTGTGTTAGCCAGGATGGTCTCGATCTGCTGACCTCGTGATCCGCCCGCCTCAGCCTCCCAAAGTGCTGGGATTACAGGCGTAAACTACCAAGCCCAGCCTTGCCCAGCTAATTTTAAGAAATTTTTTCTTTTTCTTATTTTTTTCTTAGACAGGGTCTCATCCTGTGAGCTCATTGCAGCCTTCACCTTCTGGGCTCAGGTGATCATCCTGTCTTAGCCTCTCAGTTAGCTGGGACTTCAGGTGCACATCACCATGCCCAGCTAATGTATTTATTGATTTATTGAGAAGGAGTCTTGCTCTGTCATCCAGGCTGGAGTGTTGTGGCGCAATCTCGGCTCACTGCAAATTCTGCCTCCCGGGTTCAAGTGATTTTCCTGCCTCAGCCTCCCGAGTGCTGGGATTACAGGCACCCACCACCATGCCTGGCTAATTTTTGTTTTTTTAGTAGAGACAGGGTTTTGCCGTGTTGGCCGGGCTGGTCTTGCACTCCTGACCTTAGGTGATCCAACTGCCTCTGCCTCCCAAAATACCGGGATTACAGGCATGAGCCAGCACGCCCAGCCTCATGCCTGGCTAATTTTTGTGTATTTTTTGTAGACACAGTTTTGCCATGTTGTGCAGGCTGGTCTTGAATTCCTGGGCTCAAGCGATCCTCCTCCCTCAGCCTCCCAAAGTGCTGGGATTACAGGTGTGACTGCTCCTGGCTCAAAACTTTTTCAGAGATGTCTCGCTGTGTTGCCCAGGCTGGTCTCCAAATCCTGGCTTGAAGTGATATTCCTGCCTCAGCCATCCCAAAGCATTGAGATTAGAGGCAGGAGCCACCACATCCAGCCCACAGTGATTTGAGTTCACATTTTGGCCTTTCCCTCTGTTCCATCTCTTGTTCTCACAATAGCCATATGACATGCTAGGGATTGTTAGCCCCAGAGGGGGAATCAGGTTCAGAAAGGTTTATGAATTCACTAAGATAACACAGCTAAATGTTGAGGAGTCAAGATTAGATCCCAGGTCTGTCCAATTTTGAGACCTGAACATTTTTTGATCTGTTGTTGGTTGCTTTTGCAGGAAAGAGCATTGATTGAAGTAGACAGTTCCTAAAAATTCCTTTTTAGGCCAGGTGCGGTGGCTCATGTCTGTAATCCCAGCACTTTGGGAGGCCACGGTGGGAGGATCACCTGAGGTCAGCAGTTCAAGACCAGCGTGACCAACATGGAGAAACCCCCTCTCTACCAAAAATGCAAAATTAGCTGGGGATGGTGGCGCATGCCTGTCATCCCAACTACTTGGGAGGCTGAGGCAGGAGAATCGCTTGAACCTGGGAGGCGGAGGTTGTGGTGAGCTAAGATCGCGCCATTGCACTCCAGCCTGGGCAACCAGAGCGAAATTACGTCTCAAAAAAAAAAAAAAAAAAAAAAAAAAAAGAAGAAGAAGAAGGGGCTGGGCGCAGTGGCTCACGCCTGTAATCCTAGTACTTTGGGAGGCCAAGGCAGGCAGATCACGAGGTCAGGAGATCGAGATCATCCTGGCTAACACGGTGAAATCCTGTCTACTAAAAATACAAAAAAAAAAACCAAACAATTAGCCGGGCGTGGTGGTGGGCGCCTGTAGTCCCAGCTACTCGGGAGGCTGAGGCAGGAGAATGGCGTGAACCCGGGAGGCAGAGCTTACAGTGAGGCGAGGTCGTGCCATTGCAGTCCAGCCTGGGCAACAGAGTGAGACTCCATCTCCAAAAAAAAAAAAGAAAAAAGAAAAAAAGAAAAAAAGAAAAAAAAGTTCCTTTTTAGCTCCAGAGAGCCTTAAGCTTGGAAGTTCTCTGCTTTGGAGACAAAAGTCGCCGACGCCTGTTTGAATTGTGTGCAGGCCAAACAGTCCATAGGCATGGAGCAAGCAAGGGCGCTCTCCTATGTTTTTCCTTTGAACTTCAGTGCCCCCGCCCTCCCAAGACTGACTTTCTGGTTTTGCTTATTTTTCAGAGTGCAGGCAGCTTCACGCAGGGAGTCTGCAGCTAAAGCGTTAGTGGTTTTACTTTGTTAAGGTGAGGGCGCCTGGGGTTTGGGAGGGATAACTTGCCAAAGTCACACACTGCCTGGCGGGGTCACACGTAGGCATCTGTAGTGTCCCCACCTCTCTCACCAATCCTCTCTCTCCACCCAGATTCCTACCCTGGGACAAAATGGATGTAGGCGGAGTTGGTTTTCAGGTTTTTATTGTGGGTGTATTTCTGGCAGCGAGACAGGGGTGGTGAGGCAGTCCCTCCCAGGAGTGGCCAGATAAGGCCAGAGGTGAGACTGGTGGAAAAGGACGGGGAAGACAGGGAACTTCCTTACTCTCGGATCTTCAGCTCCCGCGCCATCTGGCAGAGCGCGCAGGGCAGACAAAAGGTGAGGGCCGCCCAGTCGTGCCCGACGGAGCCCTAGAGGGTGGGAGAGAGCGGTCAGGAGCCCTGCCGTGGGCCCCAGGAGGCCAGTCCCCAGCTCCCTGCTCCCGCGGGTCCCCAGTCCGGCGCGCACCTGGATGTGGTAGCGCTCCCGCATGCCGGTGCGAATGGAGTGCAGGCCTCCGGGCAGGTAGGGCGCGCAGCAGCACTCGCCGAAGTCGTCGGAGATGCGGCAGGCGAGGCACAGAGGAGCAAAAGTGCCGCACAGACCTGGGCGGGGCGCAGGCGGTCAGGGGCGGGGCCAGCCGGGGCCTCCCAACGGCTCCGCCCCGGGGAGGGGCACGGCTGATTAGTCGCAGAGGGGCATGAGGGTCCCAGCCAAGGAGAGGTCCCAGAGAGAATTAGAAGTTCAAGGAGAGGATGGCTTAGCGATTGGAAGATAGGGTTTTTCTTTTTCTTCTTCTTCTTCCTCTTTTTTTAGAAATTGGAGGCCGCGCGCGGTGGCTCACGCCCGTAATCCCAGCACTTTGGGAGGGCGAGGCGGGTGGATCACAATGTCAGGGGTTTGAGACCAGCCTGGCCAACATGGTGAAACCACGTCTCTACTAAAAATACAAAGATTAGCCGGGCGTGGTGGTGTGCGCCTGTAATCTCAGCTACTTGGGAGGCTGAGGCAGGAGAATTGCTTGAACCTGGGAGGTGGAGGTTGCAGTGAGCCTAGACTGTGCCATTGCATTCCAGCCTGGGCGACAGAGCAATACTCTGTCTCAAAAAAAAAAAAAAAAAAGAAAGAAAGAAAACTAAAGTCTCGCTCTGTCATCCAGGCTGGAGTGCAATGGTGTGATCACACGGCTCACTGTAGCCTCAATCTGCTGTGCTCAAACAATCCTCCCGCCTCAGCCTGCGGAATAGCTTGGGACTACTGGTGTGTGCCACTGCCCCGTGCTAATTTTATTTTTTATTTTTATTTTTTTGAGATGGAGTCTCACACTGTTGCCCAGACTGGAGTGCAGTGGCGCCATGGCTCACTGCAACCTCTGTCTCCCGGGTTCAAGCAATTTTCTGCCTCAGCCTCCCGAGTAGCTGAGTTTACAGGCGCCCGCCACCACGCCCGGTTAATTTTTTGTATTTTTAGTAGAGACGTGGTTTCACCATCTTGGCCAGACTGATCTTGAACTCCTGACCTCGTGATCCACCTGCCACGGCCTCCCAAAGTGCTGGGATTACAGGCTTGAGCCAGTGCACTGGGCCAGGAGTTATGGTTTGAAGAGGGAGCTGGGCGTCATAGTGAGGAAAGCTGAGCGTGCAAGGGGGAGGTTGAGGGCCCGAGAAGTTGAGTGTAGGAAGGCATGAGGTAGTATCCTAAGGAGTGTTGGGAGTCTGAGGAAAGGGTGAGCGTTAAAGAGTGGGAATTCCGAGTCCAAGGAAGGGAAGTGGGAGTGGGGTTAGCAAGCGGTGGGAGGAGGTTGGAGGTGAACTTCCCTCTCCTAATTTCCCCCAAACCCGCCTTCCACTGGGCCTGGAGAGGGAGCAGGCAGGCACTCACAGACAGGCATGTCGTTGCAGCAGTCCGTGAGACCTGTGTGCCAGTCGCTGAGCTGGGTCTGGTAGCAGCTGGTGGTGGCGCACTGGGGCTGACTGGTCACGGGGTAGGACATAGCTGCAGAGGTGGGAGGGTAGGGGTCAGCTGGCAGCCTCGCAGCACCTCCTGTGCCCTGCACTTCTGCCACCCTTCCCTCTGCCGAGCAGTCTGGGCGGGGCCACCAGGCCGCCCACTGAAGGGGCACCACTGTGCCTCCCCCTTCCCTTCTGCCATATCTGGGTACCGGCAACCCCAGTCTGTCCCTGTTGCTACTGGGTCCTGCACGTCTGGTTAGGCTGGGGGTGGGGGTCTCCTGCACATCCGAGGAAGGGTGGGAACCACATCTGGGTGGGGCCTGGCAGTGCCTCCTCCTCCTCCATGTCTGGGCCTGGGTTCTGGGTTGCAGCATTTCTGGGGCCTCTGGGGTGGAAGCAGGCGCCGTCTGTCTTCGAAGCAAGGGTGCCCAGGGGAGGGAGGCGGCCAGGTTCCAGTACTGACAGGGTTGCTGGTCCACCTAGTGATCCCACCTTTGCCTTTCACGTTGTCGTGCATCTCAAACTGCATCTTGCTGGCCCTGAGGAGGTGGCGTTGGGGACGGCAGAAGTGGCTGCGGCGACAGTGGCAGAGTCTGTCCAAGGGACACTGGATACTGGGGAGGTGGGGGCAAGGGACTGGGGCACCGGGGGCTGGGCTCTCAGGGAGAGAGGAGCTGGGGAGAAAGAGGCCAAGTCAGCCTGCTGTCCAGGAGAGACAAGGAGTAGGGAATGGATAGGGTGGGGGCGAGAAACTCGCCCATCACTTTCCAACTGCCCGACAGATGGTAGAGGACCCTCCCCATACCCGAGGTACAGCTTGAGAGAGAGTAAGAAATGGAGATGGACAGAGTCAGAGACAAGGGGAGAAATATCAGAGCTAGGTGCCCACAGAGATGTCACCAGTAACGCCCACATGTGCCCAGCACTTTGACTCCTCTGCAAGCCCATCTCACAGATGAACACTGAGGCTCAGAGACATGAGGAGGAACGCCCCGCGTCTGACGGCCCAGGCCAAGGGGGTTCATAGAGGTGATGCTGGGCCACAGGACTTCTAAATTCAGCTCAGCCCACCCCAGGTAAGAAGGAGGGATTTGGGGGCATTGGGAAGGACAGAGATGTCCCGAGAGACAGACATTCAGAGATACGAAAGGAGACAGAGTGATATGAGTGGGATGAGGAGGAGGGAGATCAGAGCAGAGGCACCCAACTTCAAAGAAGAGGGCTGTAGAGGGGTTGCTCCTACCTGCAGGACCTCGAGGCAGTGATGGAGACAGAGGTGTGGAGACACAGGCACTGACTTCTCCCTCTCAGCCCAGAGCCACTTATATGGGCGGCCACGCAGCCCTGGGCGGGGCTCTGACAGAGGTGCCCAGGGAGCCAAGCCGGTCTGGTCGACCCTCTCCCCGCACTGGGATTTCCCGCCCTCCCTCTCCACTCCCATCACCCCACTTCCCCTCCTGCCTCAGCTCCCAGGACTGAGGGGAGAGAAGGCGGCAGGGTGGGGTGGGGTAGGGGTGTGGGGGGCCACAGCTGCGTCAGTGTGCAGAGACCAAAAGAGAGGGAGAGACAGAAACACAGTGTCAGAAGGGCAGGCAGGGAAGTCCCTCTAGACAGAAGGGAGAGACAGAAGGAGATTCAGAGAGATGGAGAGACACAAGAAGATGTAGAGGGATGGAGAGGTGCCAAGAAACAGAGGAGCACAAAAATGTGAAAAGAAATAACAAGAAGAGGGGAGATGGGCCAGGCATGGTGGCTCTCGCCTGTAATCCCAACACTTTGGGAGGCTGAGGCGAGAGGATCACCTGAGCCTAGGAGTTGGAGACCAGCCTGGGCAACATGGGGAGACCCCATCTCTACAAAAAATACAAATAAAATTAGCTGGGCATGGTGGCATGCGCCTGTAGTCCCAGCTACTTGAGAGGCTGAGGCAGGAGGATTGCTTGAGTCCAGAAGGTTGAGTCTGCAGTGAGCTGTGTTCCTGCCACTGCACTCCAGCCTCAGTGACAGAGCGAGACCCTGTCTCAAAAAAAAAAAAAAAAAAAAAAATGGGGAGATGGGAGACAGAAGAGAGATGGAGATGGAAAAGTGGAGAGGCAGGTGGGGGAATCACTGAACAGGCTTAGAGGGTAGGGAAATGGGGAGAGGCGATGGGTGGGGAGAGAGAAAGGCCAGGTGGAGTGGGAGAGAGTGCTGTGTGGAACTCCCCTTTCAGGGACTCTCATCAGACTCTCAGTGATGTCCCCACTTTCCTGGGAGAGGGGGACAATGTCCTCCCCATTCAAGCCAGGAGACACATGGGGGGCAGTGTGTTTTGGGGAATGACTCATGTTGGAACCAAAGTAAATAAACACACCTCACCCCAGCTCCAAATTGGGAAGGGAGGAGGCTGGGAACTGAAAAGCCGCAGTTCCTGAAGGACATGGACGTCACCCAGGACTCCTGGGTCCTAATGGAGCAAAGGACTGGGGGCTTGGACCCCTGGGTCTGAGGGAGGAGGGGCTGGGGCCCCGGACTCCCATGTCTCATGAGGCCAGGTGCACATCCCTCAGTAAGGTAGGGGTCCTGGGATTCCACTTTGCTGGGCTCCTGAGCAGGGAAGGAGCTGGGGGCCTGGATGCCTGAGTCGCCAAAGTCTCCCCTCAACAGGCCTGACGGGGTTGGGAGGTGACTCAGTGAGGGAAACAGTGTTAGAGCTGGGTGGGGTTCTCAGCACGGGTGTCACCCCAAAAATGTAGGAGGTACTAGAAAACTGGGGTGTCACCTGCAGAGAAGGTGATGTCATCACTCTACGGTATGGGGTGATGGCAGGTGGATCGCCCTGCTAGCCTGGGATCCAAGGTATCCCCTCCCTGCCTCCAACACATTAGGACCCAAGCCTTGGTCTCCCAGCACCACCCAGATGGTTGGGTCTTCTTGTCCCCAGAACTCCCCGCAGCGCTCACTGTCTTGCCGGTGCACGTCCATCATTGGCCCTGGAGCCTGGATGTCTGGGGAACATCTCCTTCCCACTTGTGTCCTAACATCCCTGTCTCCCCATCTTTTTTTTTTTTTTTTTGAGACGGAGTCTGGCTCTGCTGCCTAGGCTGGAGTGCAGTGGCCAGATCTCGGCTCACTGCAAGCTCCGCCTCTCTGGTTTACGCCATTCACCTGCCTCAGCCTCCGCAGTAGCTGGGACTACAGGTGCCCGCCACCGCGCCTGGCTAGTTTTTTGTATTTTTTAATAGAGACGGGGTTTCACCGTGTTAGCCAGGATGGTCTCGATTTCCTGACGTCGTGATCCGCCCGTCTCGGCCTCCCAAAGTGCTGGGATTACAGGCTTGAGCCACCACGCCCAGCTTGTCTCCCCATTTTTGAATCTTTGTCTCTCACCCTGCATCTTCACCTTTCCAGCTGTGAATCTCTCTTTCTTTCCTCATCTCTGCAAATCTCTTTCCAAATCTCTGTCTCTCCATCTCTGGGTCCCTCTCCTTCCAGGCTCTGTGTCTCTATGCCCTTATCCCAGGGTCTCTGTCTCCTAAGTCAAAATCTCTTCTGAATCTCGCTTCCCATCTCTCTTCATCTCCAGACCTGCCCCGTAGAGGCTGCCACAGGGCCCCATCCCCCCTGCTGTCCAGACTAAGGGTGCAGGTGACTCAAGGTCATTCATCTCCGAGGACCCTAGGGCTCCCAGGATGACACTCTGAGTTGTCCTCAAGTTTCCTCTCTCATTCCTGACACAGCCTGGGGGCCCCAATTAGATCTAGCAATTCATGCAGGTGAGGAAATAGAGACTGGGGAAGCTGTGAGGTGGCCTGCTTGGGGGCGAGGAGGGCCGTGAGCAGGAGGAGGAGCTCCTGGGGGGCTGAGGAGTGATGGTGGCCCAGTCACCAGGCATCGGCCTACATCCTCCTCAAACAGGGTTGCCACATAAAATACAGATGTCCTGTAAAATCTGAAATTCAGATAAGCAACAAACAGTTTTTTTTTTAGTATAAGTATGTTTCATGCAGTATTTGGGACATATTTATACTAAAAAAGTATTTGTTATTTATCTAAAATTCAAATTAAATTGGGCTTCCTATAGTTTTATTTGCTAAATCTGGAACCCTACCATCAAAGACAGAGGAATCCAGGACTCTGGCCCCCTCTTTTCCCAGAATCTAGGAGTACAGGCCCCAGTCTTCCATCCTCAGGATCTGAGAGTCCAGGTCCCAATCCTCCTCCTCCCCCTTAGAAGGAATGGGGCACCCAACCCCCTCCTCCTTTGGAAATACAGGAGTCCAGGCTCCCAGCCCCTTTATCCCCAGAACCCAGGCATCTAGACCAGGTCTGAGTCCACTTGCCCAACATGGGTCAGTCATCACTTGGGTTTCACAAGGTGGGTTGTGCCATCTGTGGCCCTGGTGGAACCGGTCGGGCTGAGCGGACAAGTGGGGTGGCCCCTCTTCCCATCCTCAACCTGCTGTTTCCTTGAGGGCCAGCCCAGCGGGGCTGGGAGCGGAACAGGAGGGACTTGGGGAGCTCTGGGTGTGCCCCTGTGTTTCTGTGTGTTGTGTCTCTGTGTGTGGTTGTGACCAATTGTCATGACAATCCCTGACTGTCATGATGTGTCTCTATGCTTTTTCTGTGGTCTGTGGTGTGATATGAGAGGGTCTTTTCTATTTGTGTGTCTGCATGGCCCTCCTGTGAGTCCACACACTGCAGTGCCGTTTGGGTGTGTTCACAGTTACTGTGATTCTGTAATTCTGGTGGATTAAGGCAGCAATTATCTATTGAATGGTAGCCTTATGTGATGGACTCTGGAGCCAGAAAGCCTGGGAAAGCCTAGGTTCAAATTCTTTTTTTTTTGAGACTGAGTTTCGCTCTTGTTTCCCAGGCTGGAGGGCAATGGTGAGATCTCAGCTTACCGCAACCTCCGCCTCCCAGGTTTAAGCAATTCACCTGCCTCAGCCTCCCGAGTAACTGGGATTACAGGCATGCACCACCATGCCCGGCTAATTTTTTGCATTTTTAGTAGAGACGGGGTTTCTCCATGTTGGCAGGCTGGTCTTGAACTTTCAAC